TCTTCCGTTTTGAAGACAGTGGCAACTCTCTTGACTTCTTTGCCGGTTATGTCCCCCAAAATCGCCTGCGCGCAGGCCGCACAACTTCGAACACGGTATATTGGGTGCTTCTTCTTGCACTCACTGGATCTTTCGGATATAATTTTGAGATAGGTTTGTGACTCTTTGAAACAAAGAGAGAGACAGGAGAACTTCTATAGGAACGAAAGAATCAAAATGCTATTTATCACAAATTCGCTGCCTTTGGTAATGGCTGACGTTGGTAAACTGAATTTTGGATCTTCGTTGTGCGATCCTAAATCGAGCAACTATAGCCATTAAGATAAAGTTTCCGCTCGCTCCGGAATCTATTATTGCATATAGTCGTCTTTCTTTAACGGTAACTAGTATACGGAATACCGTTATTAATGATATAGACGCTAGGGCTTAGATCGAGTTACATTCTCGTTAGCTGCCCTTACCACAAGAATCTACTCTTTTCCCGAAACATCGCTAACTAGTAAGTCGAACCTAACTCGTTCTTTCCCTTTTAACAATATGTCTAGTCCATATTCCTTGCGGAGGTGTCGTTCGTATAGCGTGCGTTGCTATTGCTAAGCTTAACCGTATTAAGATCGAAGCAAGTTAATGCCTTCTTATATACTTTTGTAAACATGTTCTCCTATAGGGATGATATATCTAGCTAGTGTAAAGGTACTACCGAGTAGTAGCTTCTTAACAATAAAAGCCTTAAAGTCGTAGTCGATTACTATAAGTCGGTAATCCTAGAATGTATTACAGATCTAATCTAGTATGTTATCGAAGTTATAAGGGTGTAAGAATCTCTAACCATTAATTAATAGGAATGCTTTTTCTCTATATTTCATCATAATATCGAACATCTTAGTAAAACAGGATAGTACGTAAGCATATAAGGTGTAGATACCTTCTCTTCTATCGCATAAGTGGTTATCTAGTTCGTCGTCAGATAATTCTTCGTTACTACTTTCCTCTTTATTATTGTCCTCTTTAGGATCGCTTTCGATGTCTTCTTCTTCGATTTACCCTTCCTTAAGGTCGTCTTTTCTAGTAATGACATTATAATAACCTTTTCCTCTACCTCTTAGTCTAGAGAAAAACCATCCGGATCCTATTCTAGAGTTATAGTGGACTATGCAGCTATTATCGTAGCATGCGGTCTAACTTATTAGCTTATAGCAATCGTGTTCGAGCTGCATAGGCTCTAGTTTCGGTTTCTCGGGTTTATTACGCTCTGGTTCCTTATCTTTAGAACGGCGTTACGTTATATTAAATTATCTTTAAGGCACCTTATTCTTCGAATGACAATCCCTTACTATATGGCCTTGCTTACTACATCTATAGCAAGTCATTAAACTCTTTCCCTTATACTACTTCCTGCCCTACGATCGTCGACCTTCGGTAACATCTAGTTCTATTAGCTAAAGTCTATAAGGATCGGAGTACTAGTTGTTATTATAGTTAAACTTCTTTCCTCTAAAGTTATTGTTACTACGGTATAGAACATAGCTAGACTTGCCTTAAGGGGCGACATTATGGCGTCTTTCTATAGCATATTTATAAAGGTTATTATCGATTTCGATCGATGTACGGATAAGGTTATTAAGACTCTTAATCTTTATGCCGGCTCTTATAAGTTCGTCTTTAACATTTTCCTTTAGACTACGTCTAAACATAGTTATAAGGGCGGAGTCATCCTAATTGGTGATCTAGGCATACTTCTAGAACTTAGCAGCATAGTCGGATACTAAAGTATGCTAGCGGATGTGCTAAATAAGGCATATAGCAACTTTATCCTTATTAGAGATGCTAAAGATATGGCGAATCTCCTTCTTAAAGTTAACAAAGCTAGTAAGAATACTATTAGTATCTCCTTCGCCGTTTAAGAACTTTATAAGCATCGGTTTCATCTAGTGCTAGGCTCTTCCTCGAAGGTAGGTTATAGCGAATAAGGTTCTTTTATTAGATTCGATAGGGGTAAACTGGAAATAGATCTCCATCTAGGTAATCTAATCGTTAAGACCCTAACGGTCTCCGTAGTAGAGATCGGGCTTAGCGACCTTAGTATCGTCCTTATCGCGGTAAGTGCTAGTAGTGCGAGTTCCACTAACCTCGCTAGGTGTACCTCTCGGGGTATTACTTAATTAACTCATTCTAAGGGCGTTTAAAGTTGTTATAGCTAACTATTCTAGAGAGAATAACTAGTTACGGGATTTATACTTATAAAGAGGAGTGTTAAGCAAGTGAAGCAAGTAGTGTAATGTGTAGTATAAACTAAAGGGACTGTTAAAATAACTATTGAAGTTAAACGTAGAACTGCTAATAGTCGTTTTGCCTTTCTATATACCTTCTCTATAATAAGTGTATGTAGGTTACTCTATATGCTCTATTCTGCTCTATAGAGTAGAGCAGCAGAGCACTATAGAGCACCTTATAGGAGCCTATAGGCTACTCTATAGTGTTAAGCCCTTTAGGCTAGCAGAGCACCCCTTAATTAGTATAGAGCTCCTTAACGCCTTCCTAACCGATATAGTTACTATTCCTACCTAATTAGCTAAAAGAACTACTATAAAAGGAATATTAAACCGACCCGCTACCGTTAGAGGTACTTAAAGCCCTAGATAAGAACTTACTAAAATACCTATAAATCTTACTAGTAGAATGCTTATAGGAGTCTAAACTACTATTCTATCGGTAGAAGCTATATATCCCCGACCTAGAGAAACTTAAAGTAATGTTATTATAAGAAGTATATAATAACCTATTAGTTAGCTATCCTAGCCGGAATAAGACCTACGAGCTACTATAACGATACTTCTACTAGCCTAGAATATACGAATACGTTAAATAATAGGTAAAGAACTACTATACCTACTAAAAAATTATACCGTCTAGAGAAGGTTACTAAGGTATCCTTAAACTACTACCGATACCCGGTAAAGCCTAGAAAGACCTATCTATAGACTTTATTATATACTTACCTAAAAGTAATAGGTTTAATGCTATTCTAGTCGTAGTATATTACCTAATAAAGTTCCGTCGAATTATTCCCTACGAAGGTACTTATAGTACTAAAGAATTAGCCTACCTATTCCGTAATAATATCTAGAGATCCTTTAGCCTACCTAATATAATCGTATCCGATCGGGGGGCCTAATTTATCTTAGCCTTCTAGGGACACCTTAATAAATTACTAAATACCTATACTAACCTATCTACCGCCTAGTATCTTAAGTCTAATAGATAAATAGAGAGAATAAATGCTATTTTAGAATAATACCTTCGAGCCTATATATCCTACTTATAGGACGACTAGTCTAGATAGCTCGCTACTACCGAGTTTACTAGTAATAGCTAGGTCTTAGAAACTACCTATATCTCCCTATTCTTTATACTATATAGATTCGAGCCTTGCTTTAGCTTTAAACCTATCCTACCTAATAAGCGACCTACTACCTATAATACCGCCCTATTTACCGAATAAACGTAAAGGATTTATAAACACTATTAAGCGGAGATTATCGCTACTTATACTCGCTAGGAAGACTCTATTAATAAGAAACGTAAACCCGCTAGGAAATACCTACCTAGTAATAAAGTTTAGCTTAATACTAGAAATATCTAGACCCTCCGCCTGTAGAAAAAGTTAGACTAGAAGAATATAGGACCGTTCGTAGTTAAATAAATAGTTAGCTTCTACGCCTATAAACTCGAGCTACCTATAACTATAGGAGTATACCCTATATTTAACGTCTACCTATTACGCCCTACTACTAAGGATTTCCTATCTAGATAACGCCTACCTAAGCCTTCCCCGATCAAAGTTAAAGGTATAGAATAATAGGAGGTAGAAAAAGTTATCGATTTATTATAGAAACGCCGCGGAAGAGAAAAGCCTAAGCTATACTATATTATTAAATAGACTAGTAATCTAGAGACTAATAAAGAACCGGTAGAGAACCTAGAGAACGCCGCTAAGTTAGTAAGGAACTTCTACTAAAGGTACCTAAGTAAGCCTAGACCTAATAAACGTTTTACTAGAGTTTTAACCTAAGAAAGGGGATACTATTACGGTGCTAACCTACTAGGTTACCTAGTAAGCCGTCGGCTAGACGTCTAGCTAGCTACTAGTAGTTAGTCCGGCGGGTAGTCTAGTAGACTACCTAGTAGACTACTAGCTATCGCTGTTAGGGTAACCCTAGCTAGGGTTACGTAGACTATAGAACTAAGGTTCTACTAGGAAAATATTATAAAGCCGCCCCGACTATTATCTATAGCTCTTCGAGCTACGTACTATTAGTACACCTACCTATTAGTTATACTACCTATCTATAGATAGCCTACTAAATACTACTATACCTATATAGCTACTCCTTCCCCCGAATACCTAAGTCTACCTTATAATAGCTACTTACTATAGAGTACTCTATAGAAAGGACCTTTCTTAGTAAAATCCTTAGAGTAGTATCCCTAAGATAGTAATAATTAACTATATATAAGCTAGAAGCCGGTATACTTAATACTAGATTATAATAGTTTTATACTATTAGGTAATAATAATAAAATAGTTACTATTAATAGTAAAGAAAAAATAACTTTATTATACTTTTAGTTAAGAATCTTAAATAATAGTAATACTAGTAATATTTATCTAAATAGAAATAGTAAACTATATATTAGAAGATAAAATATACCTTTAGCCTTATAATAATCTTTATTAATAATAGAGAGTTAAGAATTTGTTCTATTTCTAGAATAAAAAAAGATAGAATAAGCTAATACTATAGCTACTTTAGTAGCCTTAATATAAAACTAAGTAGTTAAGTATTATAAGTTTAATGTAGTGTTTTAATCTTATAGATAGAAAAGGAGTAAATTGTTTAATACTAGTACTATAGTTATAGTAGGTAAAGGATAGGCTAGAATTAACAAAGGTCTAACTGATTATCTAAACCCGACTTTAAGTAATGGCTTATCTTATATTCTATGTCGCCTCCTCTAGTTATATGGTCGCATGGTAGCTATACTAACAGTATATATAACATTGCTACTGCTAATAGCATACCTCCTCCCCTAGGGGTAAGCTGGTCCGTACCGCTGCTTGAAGTGACGCTAGGCTGAGAGACCCCTGGTGTGGTTATGTTGCGTGGTGCACTAACTATGCCGGGAAGGAGGTCATCTCCTTCCACAAGCACTAGTGCCATTCCGCTCTACGAAAGACGGTAAGCGACTGCACAACCCTAATACTGTAGCTGCAACTTACCACTAGATGCCACTGTATATGGCAGTGGAAAAGCCATCCCCCCGGGTTGTCTGTGATGTATCTTGTATGACTTCAGCTTCCCGTAAACATACGCTGAACCGATGTGTGTCCCTACCTAATAACAACCCAACCGGATGCCGGTAGTTCGACAGTATCCCGATATGGAGGATTCTGCAAGTTGATTGCAGATCGTGGCGCGTCGTCTACTGAAGAATAGGGAAATGGACCACTGCCACTACCCAAAACCCAGAACTTGTGCCCATGAAGGTGCATCGGATGGCCCATCTAGCGTGTCGCAACAGTTAGTACCAGAGACGATGCGGAGGATTGCAACTCCTGGTTTATTCTTACCACGTCCATCGAATCATTTGCGATCTGCATTACCACATCAATGGTAGCATTGTACGGCATATGTATCGTCGTATTAGCAGTCCAGCCGTCAGATGAGTTTCCGTAGATAACAGGTACTTGTGGCTCGGAGTATGGGTATTTGTCCACAACCCAAACCACTGGATCAGTTTGGTTGATGGTGAAGACTTTGGTCAGATCTGCTGGACTGCTAGGCGGCGTATTCGAATTGAGCGGCGCCAGATTCTTCTCGTTTAGTACCCGAGCCTGAGCCTTTGCAGACCCATTTAGCAGCATCCAAATCGAGCGAGGATCATCATACGGGATTGCGGTATCTTGTTGAGGTTGACCGAGATCGCTCACCTGAAGCTTGACATGTTAGGCCCGTACTCACAATAGCAGTCATGGTACAACTTGCATCGTATTGGATAATCGCCTGATCTTCGATGACTTGCTGCATGTCTCCGACTGGATAAGATGCAAATCGAAGGTAATACTTGCCCGGTTTTTGATCTAGTCTGATCATGACCGAATAGCGTTGGCCAATGGAAATAGGAAGCACCTGGGCTGACTGTTAGCCGGTAGGACGCATGCTGATGAGGACATATAGCAACCTTGACTTCCTGCATTTCTACGTAGAGTCCATCGGCTGCGAATACAAACATCGAATGTGCATCGAGCGAGACTCTTAGCTTGCTAGTGGCAGCGGCGTTGACCAAATGAAGAGCGAGCCAGCCTTGCGAGTAATTTGCAGGTATTGTAAGGAGGGGTGAAGATGTGTTGTTGCAGGTGACTGCTGGTAGCGAATCCATGCTATAGCCAGGGTTGAACATCATGGGAGGCGTGCATCCAAGCGCGTTAAGCGCGGTCGATTGCATCTGGCCTCCACCCGTACCACCTGAACTGACTGGTGTTGACATCGCGCGCTCCATCATAGACATAGAGGCAGACATGGATGCTTTGGTCGTTGTCACACTGCTAAATGATGGCATTCCCATCGAGTTGCTCATACTGGCTGTCATGGTCGAACTCATGTGCTCCGGGGATGTGGCCGTGGAGCTCATGTTCATGGAACCTGAATCAGGCTCGAGCGCAGGGCCCGCCATAAGGACGCTGTCGGGAAGGCATTGTACTCTTCCGCGGCCGTTGGCCAACAGGCTGTCGACGCAGTTGGGAAATGCACCTGTTGTCATGTACTCCTGATAGACAGAGTTGGAGAGATTATGGTACCAATCTGCGAGAAGCACAGGTGTTGCATTCCGCTCTGCCTGCAGAAGAGCGGGCAAGTCGGTCGCGTTCTTGGCAAGGCTTTCGAAAGGCCGCTGCAGGGAAGGGGAAGGGTGTATGAGGAGCGGGCCGCGCACAGCGTCGTCGTAATATGTCTTGAAATGCGAATGGTACCAGTAGAAGCCGTACTGGTCTCCTAGGGGCATGCGGTATGTGAAATTTCCGCCAGCGGGTATTGGAAACTGCATGGCTTCCAGGTCAGTATCCGGTATAGCAATTATTTTTTCATGCTACATGTCAACTCTACCTGTGTGACGCCTGGTACGCCGTCCATGTCTGGTGTGCCCCGTTGCAGCAAGCCTGTCCAATCCCGCCTGTCAGTCCGGTTGCTGCTTGGAAGCGTGGCGGGCAGCAAGACGCAAAAGACGAACCATGCCAATGTATCGTGTTCTCCACGGTCAAGTTGTTAAAGACAGTCACTTCGAGGGTGTCGCCTTGGTTCGCTTCAATCAACGGCCCAGGTTGCTGGTCGTTGATAAGGTACACTTCACGAGGGTAGCCATCTAAGATTATCGATTGTCAGATAAATACGACAGGCACGATCCGAGGTCCTCCGTTCCTGGACGACTTACCAGGGGATCTCACTCCGCTGTGCAGCGTGAGATTGTAGAAGCGCGTGATGGCGCAGACGGCCTGCAATTCGCAGATGAGCAGGAGCAGAGTAGTGGCCAACATGACAGGTACAGCTCCGATTTCTCCTGACGGGCAAAAGAGTTTAAAAGAGGGTTTCAGCGGGCAAAGAACACTTCAACAAGGATAGAAAAGGTGCACTAGATGTCGAAATCAGAGACTGAAAACAGTAGTGACAGGAATCAATACCAGGCGGGCCATCTTGCGATGTTGATAATATAATGTTCTGCTGCCTCGTCGAGCGGTGGCAACAGCCACCAAAAAGGGATGCGTGACTTTTGCGGTTTCATGTTCAATCTCACCATTCTCATTGTGGCGACTCCTGATAGTGCAACACAGACGCCATGATTGGCTGAGCCGACTCACTTAGTGGTCTTGGCGCGTCAAGACTTTCATCCGGCAGGAGGTAAATAGACCGCACCGCACAAAACGCGCATCCGGCCACCAGCAGCATCATCATCACCATACCATCGTCAGAACGAGCCCTAGTAGGTAGGTATGTTGTGCACAGGTAGTCCACCAAGCCCTGCACCATCACCACTTCACCCTATCTGCTCGCCTCGCCGAACGCGGACATGTCGAGATTTGCCACACGAACAAACATCGTGAGCTTCAGGGAGGAGCGTACGGCGCAACGTTTCACGAAGGGCGCTCGTGCAGCAGATGTAGCACCAAGGTGGCCAGGCTCGATTCCCTTTGTGGGAGGATCGATTGGTTGTTGCGCCTTTCTCGCACCCCCGCGTTCCTCCTGGATCATGTGGTGAACCTGTTGCACTAATTCTGCTCTCTCTGTCGTGGATCTTTGAACCCAAGTCATTTGCAGTGACGGGCGCTCTCGGCGATCCTTGTGTCGAGCAAGCACTGGCACGTTGCTGGAAGAAGGTCCCGAGGCGGGTCCATAGTGAGACGATGCGACACGCAGTGACGAGGCTGCCGCCCCTGTCGATGCTGCGGCAATGCTTTGATGTCCATGAGATGATGTAGTAATTGGGGGCGCTCGGCTGGCTCGTTGATGGCGCAGAAGCGGCGGGTTCGTTTAAAGCAGCTTGCTTGTGCCTCGTCGCTGCTGCTGCTTCTCTCCCTGCACCTAACTCTTGAGCACGTTGCAGTCGAGTCAACATCCTGTCCATTCTGCCCTGCTTCATCTGGCTCCTCGCGAGTGTCCTGACCAGCGCGCCGGCCAGAGGATGCCTGGCTTGCTGCCGTTCAACAGCGGTGTCTGGTGCCTTGTCCCATGGGCATCTAAGTGTTATGATCGTACGGGTACGGTCACGTGGTTAGAGCTTGTTGAGCATATGAGACACGAGGAATGGATTCTGGGTAAGTAAGATATCGTAGACCTCTCAGTAGGATGATGACTTAGGTTAAACACAATGTTAATAGGCGGTATTGTTCTGGTCATTATATATATAAGAGAGTTCTTAGTATTGTTTTTGCTCTATCGCTCTATCTTGCTCTATAGGTCTAAATCACAAAGTAGAATATAGTTATATTATATAATCTGGGTTACTCTATCCCTTATATAAGTTTTTTTCTATAGAGTATAAGAGGGACAAAATAATATCTATAATACTGTATCTTTAGTATACTAATTCCTATCCTTACTATTAAATCTATTATATTTATTATTCTATTAAAAAGGCACTACTTTATAACTTAAGTTCCTATATATAGCCTATTTATAGTATTGACTAAAAGTGGTAATAAGTCTATACTATATATTTTAAATAAGATCTATATTAGATAAGACTAGCTACTAAGTTTTATATATAAGCTATTTATAGTCTCTAAGTTAAAAGAGGTTTAAATATATATCTATATCTATAGTTTAAGTTTTCTAGATAGTTTAGCTTTTAATATATAGATAGTATAGATCTATATAATAACTAGAAGTATATAGATAGATATATAACTATTTATATAATATATTTTTCTTATACTAAGAATAGATTTTAAGATTTTTATATAGAGTTTTTATTAAGATATAGTAGCTTTTATCTTAAACTAAAAATATATACAGAATTAATAATAGTAGAGAAAATATATTTTTATATCTTGAAAAAGTTAGAATTTTTAGTTAACTAGGGTTTAGGGTTTAGGGTTAGGGTT